TCAATTTTGAATTTTTGGGCTGATAGGTACTCTTTTAATCTGCGAACGGCCACATTTCTTAATAAATTCAGTCGCCATTGGAATACTTCTGATCAAATTTTTCGGATAAACTGTAATTTTCTTCAATTAATTTTCCAGAGAATTCCATTTGCAATTAAACCTAGTGTACATAAATATTTCAAGTAAAACTTTTTATATTTAATTTTGAAAATAAATATTTTAACGAGAAAATCTGGTAACATTTGAAAGTTCAGATCGAGTGTTCTGACTGGACACAGAATCGCGTGAATTGAGTTTTCGTTCGATTTAGAGCTGAAAACTCCCAGCAAGAACCCAATAATATGATGTATATATTCTTTTTATACGATTGAATATTTACCGTTCTTTATTGTCCGTATTAATACGCATCTGACATAAATCGTAATGTGAACTTTTATTTTTGAAGTATAAAGAATGGCTCGAGGAGAATGTTGAGGATTTGTTATCTGATTCAGATTCGATGTTTGGTTTTTCCAGATGAAATTTATCTCTGCGACCAACACATCAGCAATTCAAGGGAAATATTTTAACGATGTGTGCTTCGTATAGGGAGAAAATAATCCGCCAGGATTTTTACCGAGATACATACCTACACGCTTCAAAGCAGGAAATTTCCTCCAAAATCTCTCGGGTTCATTCATAAACATTTTACGCACTCCTTTGCTTTTCGCAGTCAAAACAAAATTTTGTCAAATTTTAAGTACGCATATTTCAAAAGGTCACAACATGTGCATGAATTTATTCCAATCAAGTGTACTCAAAGTATTTAATTCGTATCAGCACTCTAGCCGGCTTTGGGAAAACAGATTATTTTAGAACTTTTGCACCCTCAGAAAAAGTTCACACGTATACCTAAAGTCGGTTATAGTGAGCAGTTTTCAGTACATTGTTACCAATTCAGTTTTCCGTGTACCATAGAATCAAAAAGTATCCGTGACGATTCCTGTAAAGTTGGTAACAATGTTTTTCCTCCATTTAAATACATGCAAAACAATCGATTCCTCACTTAAAATCGATATTTCAAATGGATTTAAATGGAGGAAAAACAGCGTTGTTAACTTTAAAGTAACGCCACTGGAAAGTATGCATTCTCGTGTTAGTACTATGGATTATTTCGTAATTTCTTCGAAACATCCCCTATAATCAATCCTAATCATACTCTCTAGTATGAAATCATACGAGTAACGCATGGCTCCTGAACTGTCATGCTAAGAAAGAACGCCGTATGAACATTCAAGAGTTCTCAAATTTCCTTCGATAAAATGTTTATTTTTGAGACAAACTATAATTATTTTTCCTTGAAACAGGAACTTTAGGTGAAATTGCGAACAAAATTATATCAAAAAGTAGGGAGAAAATTATTCATATGTTTACCAGGAAATTCGTGTTTTATCAAAGGATATTTAGCAACGCCTGAAGGTTCATACGGCGTTTTTCCTTAGCACCGCAGTGAGGCACGAATCGCCTCGGATGTCGGACTGCAGAGCGGTTCTGCCGTCCTAAGGAAGAACGCCGTATGAGCATTCGATAGTTACCAAATTTCCCTCGATAAAACATGTATTTTTGACAACATGCATGCACATTTTTCTTTGAAATGTTCAGATAGTTTAGATTAAATTGCCTACAAAATTGTCTAAAATTTTTGGAGAAAAATATTCAAACTTTTCCTAGTAAATTCAGTTTATATCGAAGGAAACTTGGCAACGTCTGAAGGCTCATACGGCGTTTTTCCTTAGCACGGCAGGGTTAGGGAGCGTATCCCCGTATCTGGTTTTAGCTAAACAAACCTTTGAAATTTTTTTTAAAAAAATAAATAAGAAGCAACGGAAGAATATTCCGTCTGCGGATTTATCGTAAAATCAGCAACTATACCACAGACGTATTTCTATTTGTTAACACATCCATTGACCATCAGCTAACTTAGTACATATTTGAGATCTTTGACCAATAGCATCAATACAATATAATTCAGGCACTCACAATTTAAGAGGCATCAAACAGGGGCGGAAAAGGTGTATGGGAAAGTGCATACGTAATGTGCAGATTTGCCCGTGAACCTGACACATTGACCATTCAGAAGAATTTAATTCAATTCGTTGAATAATTCATCGCTAATTATCGGTTTGTAAGCCTTACACAGGTGCTACACTGTAGCCGCGGCTGGCAGTCGAAATTATTTATTGCTTAAATAATGTTGTTTGCTTTCTTTCCTATCTCGATGAAATGGGTGTGTGAGGGTATTCGATAGTTTTGGGAGGTCAAAAGACCGACCCTCTCCCCTTACTTGAGGATACAGTGATAAATCGTGTCTTTAATGTATTTCTGATAGGGTTTTTTTCCCATTTTTTTGACAGGCATGTCAAAATTAAGCTGCAGGACAACAATTGACGCTTGAACAAATGAGTTTGATTGAGTGTTACAAATGGAAAACCAGGTGTCGAATTCCTTCCTTACACTGATACGGCATCTAACGTTGCGTTCAAATCTCCAGGATGAATGCCAATGCAAGCTCCGCATGTTTTGACATTTTTCAGTGTAATTCATGCCAAAATCATCGTGGAACATCACTGGAAAAAAAAGTCGCTTGGATCTAGAGTCCAGACTCTTGAAAACGATGACAAGAAAAAATAGTCTCGATTCAATCGAATTTTTGCTTGAATCAAAAGAAAATCCGCTTAAATTAAGATGCTTGTTTCTCGATTTAAGCAAAAATCCAATTGAATCAAGAGTATTTTTTCTTGTCATTGTTTTTAAGAGTCTAGACTCTAGATCCAAGCGACTTTTTTTCCAGAGATTCGTCTGAACTCTAGTAGGAATGACTCAATTTCGAGTTATTGAGCACACCATGGACACTTTTCTCGTGCGTTTCTAAAGGAATTGAAAAAGGACAAAAATAAAGTTATCTAGAAATGACCCGGTGGCAATTTTAAAGGCTGCAATGAAGATGCGTCTTTTTTACTTTTCTCTTTGATTAATGTATCACGCCTCTAAGAATATTCCTCTCTTTGACAACGATGGAACTCACTCAATCTGATTCAAGACGCGGCGAGGACCGCGAAACGAGATGGAAACGTGCGATTACTAAAAACCAGTTGCCGCGATGCCAATTAGCTGGCGAGCTTTCGGGTATCTCTGTGAGATTGAACGTAAATTAGATAAATCTGAATAATAGTCTGGCAACACTGAATTTATGAACCAAAATATGACCGTGGCGTCTCGTCTCGAAGCTTGAGTAATCTGGGGGGCTGTGCTTACCCACACAGATTTTTACGAGCTTTTTCCTCTGTTTTTCGTGTCGCTACCAGTGGATTGGCGTACTTTGCGATAAGTTGATTGATATGCCATTTAAACCTATGATAAAGGATCGATAAACAAGGTGTTCGCAAGGAACAACAAATAATTGATTCTTTACCACAGCTTCTAATGGGGAGATATCGACCATTGATCTTGACCCATTCCTCTTGGTCTCGAGTCAAAGTCCCGATACTTTTTTACCTTTATTAAGTTTTGGTGCTTAATTGGACCAATATAAAAGGACGAGTCGCTACTTTGGCAAGTTAGACAGCAAGTTAGAGGTTGAATCTCATTACCCGGTAAAATCATGATCTGTGTCAGAACACCATGTTCAATGTCTGAATATCAAATTCTAAAGCCTTGCATACACGAACAATGGGAGGGGGAGTTTCAGAAAGTTTGAACCATCTTTGAAAAATTATTTTTCTCGAAAAACGTCATTATCCCCCCCCCTCCCACGAGAAACACCCATGAGACATTCCTTACCTTATGAAACATTTCTATGGCCACACCACTGATCTGTAACAGATTACGGATTAGTTATTCCCGATCAGGCAGTCCGGTGCCCCGTGACCTTTGACCGTGAGCGGTGTCGAATTTTCTTGGCGGTGCGCGGTGGAGCAAGTGAAATTTCAGGCGGCCTAAAGATCTTGATCTTTGTCGACGTCGGCGACGGACGACGGACGCGAGTCGTTTCGAAACCGCCCGAATTTACGAGCGTGTCTCCCCCCGGAGCCGAAATAAGGCCAAGGACTTGCTTCACAACTTTGCGCCGGCTCGC